CGTGTGGAAAAACTTTGTGGATTCTAAATATAAATTCAAAATTTTTTCATGGAAACCTGACCAAGCAGAACAAGTTTCCATGAAAGAAAGAAAAAAAAAACAACCCACAGCCGGTTATCTGATGTTTATAGTAGTTGATGGAAAAAAGTTGCCAGCAATAAGATGTAAACGTGGTAAAAAGCAATATAAAGTAATTTACAAATGGTTTATGCATAATGGGTGAATGTCGGTCAATTATATTACGGTAATATTACTAAACAAAAAATTATAAAATATAAAACAAAAAATTCACTTATGCTCTTTAATTGCCCAAATTAATTATGTTATAAAATTACATAATTATTACATTTTTTATTAAAACAAATAAAAACATTTTACGCTCTGCATTCAAATAGAAATATTTCTTTTATTCTTTTAAGGAAAGAGGAAAGTGAAATTCTGTGAAACATTTAGAGCAGCATTATTAATTATTTTCTTGTTACTGTTATTTGCTCTAATAAGTGAATAAATAAAAATGCAATATTTTCTTTGATGTGAGGATTCAATTTAAGTTTTAAAGAGATATAAAACAACTTATTTGCCATATTCTTTAAAGTCTAGATCAACTTACTTCTGATGTGGATGTTTATGGGAAATCTTTCAAAACTGCACAATTTAATGAAGTCCTCCTTAAAGTGTGGGAGGATGATGTGACCTGGCATCTTACTGCTTTGTCAAAAGGATGCTTTCAAACACACCTTTTATATGAAAAACCACAGACGATACGGAAGTGAAAAAGAGAAGTGACAGGCATGTGTGGGGCGGGTGAGGGCAGCGACAGATTTTGTTTCCCTGCTCATTTTATCTTTGACATCCCCACCCCATTTTGAGTTATTTATTTATACTTATTTGTAGGTGTGTCTCAGGCTTCCTGGAAACCTGCTTGTGACCCTCATCAATAATATTTAGCTAAATATAACATCCATCCATTTTCTGATCACCCTCTGCCTCCATGTTGTTCAGGCACAAGGTCACGGAGAACTGCGCCCTCAAACTATGAAGTTAAGGGCAAGAATATATCTTTTATGAACACATTTCTTTGTGAATAAAAACATAGGTCTGATGTTGAAGTGTTTTCTTTATTTATTATTATTATTATTATTATATTATTATTATTATTATTATTATTATTATTATTATTTATTATTATTATTATTATTATTTCCTCACCCTCCTCACCCTCAAACAAAGAAATGATTTGGCTGCAGAGAAAACATCAGACTTTAATTTCATCAGTTTGCCCCGTGCTGGACTAAAAGCCCGGTTCGTTACATGCAGCCTGAGTCGGTCTCACATCTTGTTATAGAAAAGCGATACGCGATGATGTAGTCCAAAGCCCAATGACCGCCGGCTCACTCTTAGCTCTCTGCTTCACCTTAATGATACTACCAGGGGGTTCGCACCAGATCTGGGCTGGAGGTTTGCGGCTGTGAGTAGAAGTCACTGCAGAACCTCAACTGCTAAAAAAGATTCAGCAATCAGCATTTGGAGCTCACAAGATATCGCACAAACATCAGCGAAAATACGGCGTCGATAATTTGGACCACAACATAAAGCCAAACATGCCACAATCCAGGAGAAAGATGTGCAGCGGAGCGACTATATCTTCATGCAGGCCTGGTCCTGGTAGGATGGGGCCTTAGACACAATCTGATTCCACACCAGGGCCATGCAGAGACCTTTGGAGGGCCTGGGGCTCAAGTCCCCTCCACCACCTCTCTGCATGTGCAGCGAGGGGGTGGAGGTGTTTTTTAACACCTTCAGCCTCAGATCAACACAGTCCACACAGCCAGCAGCAAAACAGCAACTTTATACATAGAGGGAAACATAGACTACATGTTTATGTTTTCCCCACATGATGACAATGATACAGTATCATCTGATTAAATATAAAATTCTTGATTAATGTGGGTTGTTGCTATTTTGTGTTTCAAAATCTTGTTGAATGGGCCCCTTTTTAACTTTAAGCCCCTGCCCCTCCAAAGCTCTCTGCACAGCCTCGAGAAGCGAGCTCTCAGGGGACTGAACGAATACCAAAAAAGTCTTATTTTGCCTCATTCATTAAATTTTTATCTCAGTTTACCCCTTCATGTCCAATTCAAACTGTTTTTCTTTTTCATCTTAAAGTTAGTGTTTCCAGAAAATTCACTGGACTGCAAAAATGCTTTTGGAACAGAACAGATTGCCAGTGTTGTCACACTTTATAGAAAATGCAGACATTCCACCTTTATTATTACCTTATTTTTATTTCAAGTTCTGACTGACAGGATTAAATACACCTCCTCACAACATTTGAGCTCTTACAATAAATATAAATCTAACTATAATTCCCTCAACAGGAGGGGTAATGACACCCTTCTGAGTTTGACCTCACACACACAGCTGTGCTCTGAGGGACACGGTTGACAGGTTTCCAGTTTGACTTTCTGGCTGAACTGTTTTGAGCCTTTCACGCTCAAAACCTTTCACATGGCAGCTACAAATTGTAGCAACTTTCAGATTAATTTCAAGAAAACTGCTGCAATGAAAGAGCATGTAGCTGTCCTTGAAAAGTACTTTTTTTAAGAAAGAAAAATATGCAGATAATTATCCATGAATCAAAATACTAGATACAACTGCTTCCTGTTCATTTAAAAATATATATAATGTAAATAATGTGTTCCTCTAAAATTCACCTATTTGTAGTTTTTCTGCAATTAAAAGGGCAGTATTATGTATTTTCCAGCCACATAGTGTCATTTTATAGCACTGTAGTTACCTATGTGTTATATATCAAAGATGACTTGAAATAAATGTTACTTCAATTTGACACTGATAATGGGTCTCTGTCTCTTTAAGAGGCTCCTGCTCTTTCCGACACTTTGCCTTCAGCGCCTCATCACAACAATGTTTTCCATTCTGCCTTTAGCATAATTCTTAGGAGCATTGCACTCAGAAGTAGTTCATTTGACAAGCAAATGCACAGTTCCATCAGGAACTTGCTAATTGCTGCTACTGCTAGTTTGAAGGAGCCGGTTTGGGGAGTTGCGCTCTGTGAGGCAGAACCTTGGCTTGAAGATTACAGCTCTGAGGAAGATGGCGCTTGGTGGGAGCAAGCTTTTCACACAATCAAATGGCTGCCACTGGAGACTGAAGGATTTCTCAAACATGTATGAAAGAATCAAGGCAACTCTATAGGTATACTTTGATGAGAGAATAGTACTATAATGTAATGTAAAGCTCAAAGAAGTATATTTTACTTAATTCCCCCATTTACTATTTTTCTTTGATTACTGACATTTTTATTCCGGTTAATTATTTTGTATTATAACGCTGACAACATTTCTGAGTTGAGAGGATATATTTAATATCATGAAGTGTTATCAACACATCAAGTAAAAACTATGCAAATATTTGAGCTTCAGTTTATTAAAATCCTGTTACTGTTGCATTTGGTCTGATTGCTCTTGCTTAAAGAGATTAATACATGTTACTTAATGGGTTTATCTAAAGTTTACATTAAGTTTAGGTCTTGGTTTTGTATTTTTCACTCCAATCAAACCTTGATTTCCAGTTCTGGTTTGTGTTCTCCTCTAAATATCTACAGGTTCTGTTGCGTCTTTGGTCAAATCTCTAAACTTCAGAGATGCTCAAAGATGCATCTTCACTGTTGTTGGTTATCAGTTTAAAAAAAAAAGAAAAGAAGAAGAAATATTTATTTTTATGAAGTTTTTGTTGCAGTCAAATTATATGTTGCATAGTAAGTAGATTAAAACTTTGTATTGTTTTTTGATTAGCTAGGTGTCATTTACTTTGGACATTTTCATCCTGTACAATCCAACATTGCTCGGCCAAGACATTCTGTTGAGCAGAATCAACATTGGACTTCATTTACACAAGTCAATTAAACTATTGGCCACTGGGATTTAAATTTTGTCATTTTTGAGAGCTTAGATCAAGCAAAACTATCTATCCAAACTGAACTTTCTCCACAGACAACAATGCAAGAATCTCAGAAAGCACAAAGCACAATTTAAACAACAATTTTTTTGACTTATGATCATTTTTCACCTTTTTTTTTCTTTTATTAGTTTTAATAGCAAAGCACAGAAATACAGGTGTAAAGAATTGATGGAAAAGTGACAAATATGATGAGATATTTACACATTTACTCTGGAGTCCTGGACGGAAACAAAAATTTTTAAACTGTTGCTCAGCATTCCTCAATACCAATTTCTCAACATGAATCTGAAAAAAATCTACTAAATTATTTCAAATCTTAGCCAAATGTCTTTGAGTTGATTTATTCGCTTGCATTTGCATTATTTACAGACATTGGTCATTTTTAACTTTTACTTTTACTTAGTTTACTTCTAGAAAACTCTGTGGGTTTACTTCATTACAAACAGGTAGGTAGATTATTATCATCATTGTGATAATCCACTCATGTCTAAATGATATCTACACATAGTTTTAACATTGACTTAGCTGTACACTGGGTACTTACCACAACAACAAAAAAGCGGAATAATATATTTATAACGACGGAAATATGATCGAGGCAGAGCACACCCTCAAGTTGACACTGGTTATGTTTTTTGACACACTCTTTTATACTTGAAGCTTTTGGAGTTGAACTACTCTAGTACAGTTGTGTTTATTTAATATTAGAAGTGGTTACTTGCTCACAAAGTGTTCAGGTCAAACAGAATACGAACTGCATCGTACTGAAAGGTCTGGCCAGGTAAAAATAATAGCCTAGTGAGAATGCATACTCATAATTTCACAACACACAACATTATAAAAATGGAATAATTTCATTTTTGTACACTTTTGATACTTTTGCCAGAAAAGCATAACGTATATATTTTTTTGCTGAATTAATGTACAATGGTAATAATAAAAAAATAAGGTATGACTCTTAATACAAAAATCTTCCTCATGGACATAAACAAAAGTTTAAATGTGAACAAACTACTTGCTGGTCATCATTTGCTCACATTTCTTGCACTGGATTATGACCACAAAGTCACTGGCCATTAGAACCTGAAAAAGTCCATAACTTCAGTCAAAAATGTATTCAGGAAAAACAATTGAAAAGTCTCAGTGAAATAAGTCAGATCTCACCTGCCAGACATCCTGGACAGTCTGTTGAACATGCTAAATGTCCCAAATAATTTGATTAATATTTATTCACTGTAATGACATTACATGTTTTTATTTGTGGTACAATGCTTTAAATCACTTTACCTTCCTTCACGACTTTGAAGCTCTGCAATGCGATTCCTTAAGAAAACAAGAGGAGCTTAAACAAGAGCAGCATGAGAAAATAACAATTTGCTGTTTTTACTCAGCGGATCCACTTAAATAGTGAAATATCTGTAAACCTACTTGTACTTTCATCATAGCAATGCAGATGATTCCAAAGATCACAGCCGTGCCAATGGCCACCGCGACTGGAAGGATGAGGTGATAAGTGTTTGCAGTACCTGCAAATAGAAATGAAATCAGATGCATTTTATGTGATGTTGAAAATACAAATGAACTACATCCTGTATTTATTCTGAACTATTCAAAGCTAGTTAGATCTCACGTTTTACGTTGAGTTGAATAGATCTGTCTGATTTTTGACCTCCATTAAATGTTACACTACAGGTGATTTCAGTGTGGTCGTCATTCTCCTCAGGAGTAAACACCATGATGGACTGTGTCCTCCCAGATCCCAGAGACAATGGGTTTTTGAATTAGTATAAATCATCTTCACTTCCTCGACTCCATGTGAACACAGGAACGTGTGAGGGGCAGGTATGGTGGACCGAACAGGTGACGGCGTAAGGTTTTCCTTGAACAGCTGTGTTTGCCTGAAAAAGTTCAGGTTGGGAGGAACTTCTATAAAAAGAAAAATGAGACATTAACTAAGGGTTAATTTTAGCGATTGTAATATAAATACTGAACAAAGTTAAACATGCGAATAACAACGATGCACAGGACTTGAATAAATGACAACATACGGCGCATTATGACTTCAGCACATTCCTCAACAAAGGAGAACTTTTCTTTAGTTTCTTGGTTGGTGTCTTTTTGCACAAGTTCAATGCGGAAGCAGAAAGGGCCGTTATCATGATCTTTAACCTCATCTATTTCTAAGGTGCAGTTCTTCTGACCCAGGTCTCCCAACAACTTGGTTCGGCCCTTAAAGCTGTCCATGACCTTTGTGCTGTCTTCATGGTAGAAGATATCGTCCCAATTGTCCTTACGATGCCAGATGCCCCTGAGTCTGGAGGTAGGCAAGATACTCCCAGGATAAGTGAATGTACAGGGCAGCACAACACAGGAGTCGACCAGGGCTTCAATTGATTTTACAACAGAGGCCTTCCACTGTTCTTCAGTCGTTGGGCTGCAAATACCTTAGACGGATATAATAGGAGAGAGTAAGAATAAACAAATAAGGAATATAAAGAGGCTGGAAATCAAGATATGTTCAATTATTTACCAGCCAAGAGCAAAAAGAAAAGCATCCTCTTGCTGTCTTTTTCCATTCTTTGACTTGTTAGAAGTACAAAATGGCCCTCAATGTTGCAATCTATGTAAAGACAACAATTAGTAAAATTAGTAAAAACGTTTTTTTATACAGCCCTTGATTGAAACAGCAATACTTGCTGTATGTAATAAATTAAATCATGACTAGAAGAAAACAAAATTGACTGGTTACCATTTGGCAAATTTGGCTCTTCAGAAAAGTAGAAAAAAGAATTAAATTATTATCAACATGATCTATGTTTGCAGATGCAACAGCCAGAGTTTCTTTCCATTACTAAGTTCTGAATTTCATCACATGATGCTCAGTGAATAAGGTGTTAATTAATTAATTTTCAACTTAAAAGTATTTCTTATTGTTTTTTTGTGTTTTTTTTTATAAAGATGTGAAAATTCATATATTTCGTGTTTTGGAAAAAGCAACATCTGATAACTACGGTACTTCTCAAGCTGCTACAAAATGAATTAACTCTCCATGTTTCTGCATCACCTTATAAAATTATGAACCTGGGTATCTTTCATGGTAAGAAAATGTATCTTGAATAACTACAGTCATAAAAGTCTCAAAGAACAGTGAAATAAAACAGGGCACTATAAAGTTGAATAATGAATACAAAGAAAAGTCCCTCCAGAAGGAACAGACTAACTCAATAGTATATCCTGTGATGAGCCATACAAAGAAAAACCCATATCCATCAAAATTTACATTGCTGTAATATTATCTGCAATTTGAACCCATATTTAAGTAGCATGTAAGGTTTTCAGTCTTACCCTATAAGAGAGCTGCTTTGCTGATCTCAGCCCCAGTTGAATAAAAATGTGATCAAACAGTCGCGCTATTTATGTATTGGTGAGAGAATGCTGCCAGTTCACACTGTGAAGGAACCAATCTGCTGACACAGGAGAAAATGCTGCAATTTTTTTTTCCATTTACATGTTTCATGTTTGAGACACAGTTGTGTGTTCATGCGCCAACTGGAAAATAACACAAGAAAAGACAAACAGGCAAACAATAGACTCGAAGTAAAACCTCATCACATCTGTTGGCTAACTATGAAGACCTGCTCAATTTGAATATTCTCTTTTGAATGTGTAAAGTGTGTCACATGGTCACATGGTAAAGTTGTGATCCCAGTTTCTGTGTAACTGGATACCAGATAAAAATAAACACTGAAATAATTCTTTACAAGGTTGCCTGTATTAAAAGTGACTTTGCAGAAAAGAATGTGTTTAAAAATGACTGGTTCTGGATAATGACTAGACCAAGACATTTTGGAGGGATATTATGGTGTTGATCACTGACTTGCTTTGTATGTCTCTGGTGTGGCCTTAGCATAACATCATGACACCTGCACAAGCTATGATGTTACAATAGAACAATGATGAGTTCAGGTTTCTACTATGAACTTATGACTGATTTTACATTTTCTTTTTTATATACATGAAGCATTCAAATACTAACCTAGCTGGGTTTTTCTGTCAATGTCACCAATGCATTTCTTGCTTGGCTAATTCACCAAAGTACTCTTGACTCCAGAATTAGCGTAGCATGGCTGCAAAGCAATAAAACTGAGAATGTGTTGTATACTTTAAGTCAAATAGGATTACGGAATGATGGTGGCAATGTTGGTAGGAGTTTGTCCTGCAAGTGGCAGGTTACTGGTTCAATTCCCTACTCCGTCTGCCTTTATCGTTACAATCTGAGGCAAGACACATTACATGTTAAAGGCATTTAAATGATAAATGTATGTCAATTGGAGATTATTTGTCAAACTGATTAGACAGTGAGTTTAAGCAGGCAAATCTACTTATAGAAACAGAAGATGCTTATTCAATTAAAAATTTGAATTACAGTGGTGCAATCTGACTGAGCTTGAGTAATTTTGTAAAGAATATTGGGCAAAATGTAAGACTAAAGATCTACAAAGCCGACATCGTAAAGGACTGGCTGGTTTAATAGTGATTTGTTGTTTGTATTAACAAGCACTGAACAAGAGTGTATTATAAAGTTTCTCCTTTACACTAGTGATCTGCTCCAGCCATCTTCATTTACTTATCTCTTAACGCTCTACAAGTTTTCTCATTGTTGCTTCGTGTTCTTCCCTCAGATTAACTTTTTGAATTAACATTTCAATGTTTTGACAACACTCTGTTAGAATAATTATGTTTTGTTGTCATTCTTACATTTGTAGTTTTAGTAGATTTAGTATTCACATCCCTGAGAAAAGGAACTTGTTAGACCTTGAACCTGCAACCATTTCTTATCTTGGGATACTCCCTACACGGCCCGTGTATAGATCTTCCTTTGTTCTCCCTTCACATTCTTTTCCTACTATGCTTCTGCCTGGGTTTTTCTAAGGCAGAAAAACCCAGCTAGGTTAGTATTTGAATGCTTCATGTATATAAAAAAGAAACCTTGAGGAAGCGGTCTGCTGTGCCTTCTCCTTTGGCAAAAGACTTGCTTGAAAATTCAAACGTTGTCTGTTGTTCTCTTTTCATGTAGGTTGAGAAAATAGCTATCACACTCAGTGACTGATTTTCAGTTCTGCTTTTTCTGAAGTTAATTGGCAGCTGAAGTGAAAACACATTTATTAAAATAACTTATCTGAGATGACACATTGAAGTCTTGTTTGAGTTGTAAAAATAAATAAATAGGAGAAACACATCTGCAACATTTATATTTTCAAATATGCAAAATGTTCAGATTGGCTTTACCATAGACATGGTGATCTATCATATTTAAGGCATTTCTTGCCAATAAGCAGTCAAATTTGGTCATTGAATGCACTGGTTGTGTTATTTGCATCAAGGAAAATAACAATAGTTGACTCTTATATTTTATACATACAATCTTTATGCTCATCCTGCGAATCTATTAAGGGTTAGTTGCTCATTATTTATTTTAAACTAATCTTCATTTACACCTGCGTTCCATGCGAGAGGTGGCGTCACCCTGGACAGGTCGCCAGTCTGTCGCAGGGCAACACAGAGACAAACAGGACAAACAACCAGGCACAGACTCACTAACACCTGAGGAGAATTTGAAAAGACCAATTAACCTGACAGTCATGTTTTTGGACTGTGGGAGGAAGCCGGAGAACCCGGAGGGAACCCATGCACACACGGAGAACATGCAGAAAGACCCCGGGCCGGGAATCGGACCCAGGACCTTCTTGCTGCAAGGCAACAGGGCTACCAACTGCGCCACTGTGCTGCCCTGAAGTAATTTATGTAGAATGTAAAATAAATAAATAAAAAATTTTGGCTTCTAAATAATGTTATTGCAAAGCCATAAACAGTGCCAAGAGTTGGCTCCAACTAGACCTTCTGGGAAGGTTAAAGAAGAACAGAAACTACGCAAATTGTTTTGGAGAAACAGCCTAAAGTCATAAAAAAAGAATGTCTCTTTCACTGCCAAAATAACACTCTGCAAGTCTATTGGAAATCCACAGGGGAAAACACAGAATTATTTTCAGTTCTGCATTTAGAGACGTAAAGAAATAAAAATAATTACTGAATCACAACTCTAATGTCACTGAGATAAAAATAATTATTTTTTTGTGTAGCAGAGGGAAAAAAACTGATAGCACAGTGTCTATTTTTTTTTTTTTTTTTTTGCGTCTGAGACAGACTCTAGACATCCTGTTCCACATGGTGATTGTGTTATTGGGGAGCCTTTGGCCTGCTGCCTACCTGGGGAGGTTTTAACACCACCTCAGGTCTCAGGCATGGTTTTGTAAGATATTTCAGCCTGATAATCTGTCATTCGCTTTGCTCCTCATCTGTTCTTTAAATGTGTTGTTTTTGGATCTTTAGCCTCAGTCTGGTTCTTTTTAAGTAATTCTTAATTCTATAGGTTTTTGCAGTAATCTGGTGTACACAGCAAATCCAGCAGGCCCAAATAACTCTGTCAGCTTTGACTTCAACACTTTTAAAGTGTCTGTATGGGTCCACACCAGAAAGTGTTCATTTGACTCTTTTTGGAGAGTTGGTACCTCAACTCCAATTAAGTGTCAAATATCAAATCTGCTGGAGTTAATCATTTAACACTTACTAATTCAGTGTTAGATCTTAATATTAACTCTTACAGAGTATTTTTTTCCTTTTTTTACTTCATAATAGTTATTTGTAATTAATATTGACTAGGTATTTCATTGTTTTGAACTTTAAAAAAATTCTTTGGAAAATAAACATTTAATAAAGAGGCAATAATTTTCTCAAATGCATTTATTTCAAAACATGCACCATAATTATAAAACATATTACAACGTGGAATAATGTGCATGTTTCACATGTCACTTTCAGTTACATATTGCTTATCAAAAGACATATCAGCTGTGCAATACAAAATGCAGAATGTGTAATACACATTTTTCTTCAATACAATATGCATGAAATTGCTCAAAGTACAAGATGGGGAACATAAAGCAAGGAGTTCATGTTATATGATGATATGACAGATTGTCTTTGGCTTGTTGGGCCAACAAAATTTGTGATTTATACAAATAATTACTATTAGCACACACACCCTTTCATTTTTGTTGGTAGGGATGCCACAGTGGGTGCAGTAAACGTAGCGCATGTTAGCATAAGTGGTATTATAAAGCCTTAAATCTGAATATATGTAAAGCATGCCTTAACTCACCAATAAATCAGATCAGCAAAAAGAACACAACCTGTTTGTGGAAACAAAGGATGCTAATAATTACTCTGGCTTTTTACTTTGATCATCAGTTTTTACATTTTTACACGTTTCCATAAATGTTCAAGTCTGCAGTGTTCATGTAGTCATCGTTGTCATCCAGGTCCTATGAAGAATAAGATGATAAGGGTGTTTATGAAAAGTGGAATGAATTTTAAATAACCGTAAAAAAAAACAAACAATAAAACTTAATCATACCTGTTTGTAATTGTGGGATTTTTGTTGGCTTTATGGTCCCACCAAAGCAGCAGAAATAACAATTAGAAACTTTTCATATGAAAAATTTAATAAATCTAATTGAAGTAGTTACCTCTTTGGTGACGGGAAGCGAGGTTTGTCAGTTTTCTGTCCACCACAGGAGGAAGCATTATTGGGACTGATGATTCAAAAAACAGTTTTTACAATTATAACACACACCAAGAAAACTTCACAACTTGTAGTTTCTTTCAGCTAAATATTCACCTTTGAACATGTTCATTCCTTTGGGGTCTCCTGTTGAAGACAAATGAAATATGTTTTGTGTAATAAAAAAAAAAAAAACACAAGAGCTTGTCTTATATGCAAGGTTTTTACACAAAAAGTTCCAGTTACCTTGAAAATCTGCTCCAAATAGATCTTCTGGGAATAATAAAGAAGGAACAGAAAGCATGCAAATGTTTTAGGAAGCATTTTGTCAAAAGTCAAAAAAGGAATTAATCTTTGACATTTAAGAAAAAAACTCCCAACTCAGCAATTTGCAGGTCCATTTGAAACTGCAGCAGAAAATATGAACTGTTCTCTTGAATTCAGTGCTGCATTGAGAAAAGTAAAAAAAAAAATCTCTTGCCTTTGATCAAGATGAGTTGGTCCTGCGGCGCCAGGACGAAGCCTGAAAATGTCACAAATTAAATGTTATATTAAATCACTACAATGTTACTAAGATGAGATTAATCAGTTTTAACTGGCTAACAGGCGCAGGCATCGATTGCGAAGCGACCATTCCTCACCTGCGAGACAGTCTAGACATCCTGTTCCACATGCTAATGTTAGAAAAGTAAAACGTATTATAATAATGTAGTTAAATGTAGGTGTGACTGTGAGCAAACTGTCTTTTTCCACACCTGCCATCTTGACTTTGAAGCTCTTGAATACGTTTCCTTTAAAAGACCAAACATTTGTACAAATATTAGACAGCTGCAAGCAAATGCCAGGTTTTATTGTTCACTATTAGTGAAAATTAGTTTGGTACTTTGCTACTCACTTGTATTTCTTCACCATGAAAATACAGAAGAGTCCAAAGACCACAGCAGTAGCAGCGACTGCAACAGTAGGAATGATGATGTGGTTGTAGTTTTCTCTGCCTGCAAACAAAAAGTAAACCATTTCTTTTTTATTGCAAATAGCAACAAATAGGCAGGATTTAAAATGGCTGTTCTTTTAAAATGAATAAAAAAGCAAACCAAAGTTTGTCTCACGTTTTACATGAAGTGTAAACTTTGCCTCGGATGTTATTCCCCCATGAAATGTTGCTGTGCAGGTGAGCTCTGTTTCGTCGTCCTTTTCCTCAGGAACGAAGGACAGGATGGAATCTGCCTCCCAGATCCCTGAATGAAGGTGTTCATGCTTTTTGGTGATTTCATCATCCTTACTTTCTCGACTCCATTTAATCTCAGGGGGATGCGAGGGGCAGGTGTGGTGAACAGAGCAGGTGAGGATGTAGGGTTTGCCTTGAGTGGCCATCTTCATTGGACTCAGTTTGAGTTGAGGTGTTATCTGTGAAGAACAAATTCAGGTAGCAGTTAATATAAAAGTGGGTTAAACATGCAAGCAGCATTGAAATACAGAATATGGAGTGTGTACATACGGAGCATTATGACTTCAGCACATTCCTCTACAAAGGAGAACTTTTCTTTAGTTTCTTGGTTGGTGTCTCTTCGTACAAGTTCAATGCGGAAGCAGAAAGGGCCGTTGTCATGATCTTTAACTTCATCTATTTCTAAGGTGCAGTTCTTCTGACCCAGGGCTCCCAACTTGGTTCGGCCCTTAAAGCTGTCCATGACCTTTGTGCTGTCTTCATAGTAGAAAATCGTTGTGTTTGTCCTTACGATGCCAGATGGCCCTGAGTCTGGAGGCAGGCAGGGGAGACCCAGGATAACTGAATGTACAGGGCAGCACGACACAGGAGCCAATTAGAGCATCAATGGACTTTACAACATCGGCCGTCCACACTTCTCCAAGCCCAGAGCTGCAAATGACTGATTAATTAGAACCAAAACAAAAAGTTAGAAATTATCATTGGAGGAAAAGAAAATGGATGAAGTAATTTACAAATCACTTACCAGCCAAAACCAAACACATCATGAGCTTTCTCTTGTGATCCATTGTGCTGCAAAACACTGTTGGCTTGATTGTTCAAATCTGTAGGAGTTTTTACAGGAGGAAAAAACAAACAGAAACAAAATATTCTATCAGTATTAATCCCAAGAATTAAAAGTTTACTGAGGAGATTTATTTTACATTTTTCCTAAAATACAAAGGTATGAAATCAAAGGTGTGAAATGGCTCAACACTCAAAGTCCACCAGATATGAAAGTTAATCAGAAATGAGCACTGCATCTGCACCAGCAGATTGATTATAGTGTATTAAATAACTACACAGGAGAGTTGATATTTAATTTTCCTCCAGACCAAACCGTCTTATGCAATGGCACTGTTAAAAATCAAATCTAAAAGAATAACACAAATAAAAAATGGAATCTGAGACTAAACATAAATTAGGAAAACCAAACTCTGGGATTAATTTAATGTGGTGATTTTACAATCATAAGTGTGGAAACACGTAAGCAAGAGGGAAAATGTTTGAAACTGAATGAGGGAAGTGAGGTTAGGTGTGGGCTTGGGTAAACCATCATAATGACGCAAAAAATAAAGCAAATTTAGAACAAAAGAAGACTATGCAGAATGCTAAATCTGAAAATTTGTGTAGAGTTCAGAAAAACAAAATGAAAAACAAATAGAATTAAGGTTAAAATCTTCATTTAAAACTGAACAATGAGGTTGTCAAGCTTTTTTTAAACATGGCTTATACGTTCAATCATTCATAGATATTAAATATGTAATTACACATGTTGCTTTTGTTGCATCTACTTTTAAGATGCAACAAAATTTGCATTTTTCCTTGCCCATACTTTCATTTTACAGTAATATCAAATAGTTCTATAATTTTATAATCATTTAACCTTTTTAATGGGGATATATTTTTAAATTGAATCAAGTATTTAGAAAAAGTCTTTAAAAAAATATCCTAATGTAAATTTAAAAAAAGTATTAAATCTAATCACTACTTTCAATTTATTTATCACTGCTAATCTGATTTTTTTTTTCTAAGTCCTTATATTATTAGGAAAATATGCATAAGCTAAGTTTGGTGCAACTATTACAATTAACAAAATCTTACCTTTTGGCGTCTCTGTCTTGGCTGAGCGGTTTTCTGAAAACACTTCTGAATAATGATTCTTTGGTTTGGTTTCTGCAGTTTGGCAGCCGTCACAGTCACTTTCACAGTGTGTGAGAATGTCAGAGTGTGTGTAGAGGCAGTGAAGCCAGAGTTAATGATGCAGCGGACAGGGAGTGGTCTCAGCTGCACTACTTATCTGAATGCAAATCTCTGATATATTTTAAAACATAGAATCTCTGACACTAACCAGAAAAGAAAATGCTAAAATGTGTGTTTTTATTTTTCCCATGTTTGAAGTTACAATTGGTTTTACCCACCAGGAAATCTGGCAGTATAGAGATCACTGCAGTTTGCTCCATCACAATGGCTGGTCTAAACAGAGCTACAGAAAAGACAAAAATGTTTCTTCCAACATTTAATCAACAGATTAAGCCAAAAAGAAAAGTGATCTGGCAAAAAAAATAAAATACAAATGCCTTGCCGTAACGAAAATGCATTCGGCTCCACAAAATAAATATATTTCTCAAAGACAATGAGATTTAAAGAAAATTAGCTAAAATGTCTGTGATTGTAAAACTGTGTGAAAATTAAGGAAGTTGGTTTGTGTAAAAATCCACCATTGACTGAGTCATTACATTTGTTCTTGGTCGCTTTCAGCAGTACATTATAGGGCATGTCTTTGTTTTCTTCTCTCTATTTTGTTTAATGAATATATTTTTTACAGTGTATTCTTAAGAAGTCAGGCAAGGCCAGGAGAAAAATCAGCATCGGTGTGAAATGCTTTTGTTTTCTATACTGAAGAACACTGATAAAAATTGCTTTGGGAGACTTGAATTAAACTCTAGAGACATCTGCTGCTCAGACAGCTTCATGTTTTGAAAGAGCTACATTTGATACAGGAAATAGAGAATGGCAGCGATTCAGGCAACACTTGCTGTAATAATCAGACGTTAGCAGAATATCCCTTGAGAGTTGGTTTCCACAACTCTCAAGGAAACCAAAATTCAATAACAAGATGAATTTTAGTGTCAAAAGATCAAAATCATGCATTTCTTCAGAATAAAGCTACGGTTTATAAATACTAAAAAATGAACAACTTTTCTTCGATATCATCTTTATGTAGAACAAACATCAAAGACAATGATTCATCACTGGTCTGTCTGGTTTTATAAGAATAATGAATGTTTAAAAGAAAAGACTTGTTTCCAAGTTGCACATAGAATCATCAGCTTAATGCAGTATGTCTTCTTTAGATAGTAAGCATACATTTTTCCATCTTGCACAATAAATTTCAGAGTTTTAACATGTGATTCCACATGCTACCTTGATATCACATTTTATTCCTGACATTTGGAAAATATATGCTGAACCATGTCACGTCATCTAAAGTTGTTCACACACTTTAATACTCCAGAGGGTTACTTCATAATTACTTCATAATTACTTAGCAAAATTTTCTTTGTATGATTAGAAGTGATCTGACCTAAACTATCATATCCATTAGGGATGATAAATCAACTGAAATGTAATGGCTTCTATCAAAATGTTTGATCAACTACGAATGAAGTTTATTTACAATATGGTAAACAGAAAGAGCTGAGGAAGAGAGCCGTTAATCAACACTGATTGACTTTTGCAGTTACAGCTGTTATCTGTAATCCCATCTCTTAGTGATGTGATTAATTAGACAATTAAAGTCTGATGAGGTCATGACTTCAGGACTTTAAAATGGAGGAGTTTGTCTTTTGCATTGCAGCCAGACTTCAGCAGCCAGATCAGCAGAAATAAAGCAACCTGTTGTAATTTTCTCCGTAAAGGTAAGAAAATGTACAATCATGTTTCTCTGACATGTGTAAATTAATTTTTACAATAATTCCCACACTTTGTGTTTTGCTGGATAGATTTGCTCCTTGGATAGTGAAGCTCTCAGCTTTTCTAATGGGTAACTCGACATCCACTGGCTTCGCTGCTACGTCTCCCAAGAGACTGTCCTGGGGACGCCGAAAGGAGGACACTATCAAGCTGCAAGACTTCTTCACCAGAAATGAGGAGGGTCTTTGGCGCGCGAGAAGGAAGCAAAGCTTAGCTCCCAAAAATATTCCCATCCCTCACAATAGCCTTTGTGTTGATCTGGATTTTCAAGACAGAGGGAATTTCCACCCAAAACATGGAGAAACATTAACCCTGCCTTTGTGGAAGAAAGCAGCCAATGAGTTTATAACACAGTTTTGGTGAGAAATGTTTTTTCAGCTGTGGTGTTTAAGAGAGGACCAACATTTTTTCTCTGTGGCTCTAAACTAGAAAAAGGAAGTGAGACAACAAAGTAAAAATAAACGTTCTGACAGTTCACTTCATGTGTGACTTATGCTCCAAGCTGTTGTTGGAGATTAAAACTTAGTGAATATGCTCTAGAAGATGATCTTGATTATTGACATGATGATAAAACTACAACAAATTTCTTGTGTTTTTTTTTTGCACCTTTGTGAAAGCTATTCCAATTGCTATGTCACAGATAGTTATGCATGACTTGGTGTAAAATACAAGAAGCAGGCCTGACTGATTTCCTTTTCAATAATATTTCACCGAATGAGACACATAAGTTGAAATGTAATAACTGGGACAAAAAATTATCTGAAGACAGATTTAGTACAGGTCAAGTTTTATTCACTGATGACAGGGAATCTTGACTTACCAGATCTGGACTGTGTCTGCCCAGTAACAGGCACAGAACTCCACTTTAACTAATAGCTGGAGGTGGAGAACCAGTTTGGGCTGAAGCCTGTGGTTTTTATTCAAACTTATTCACTCAGTAAAGATCTGAGAAATAAGATGAATAAATATTGATATGGGGGAAAAAAAATAGATTTTGTTTATGTTTGAGAATAATTTTGAGAACTAATACCTGCCCAATAGTTGTGCTGAAACAGACGTATTTTTTTTATTACTTACATATATATGTATGTATGTTTGTAATGACTGTGAACACTGAAGTTGTTTTGTAGTATATTTAACACTCAAGAGCACAGTGTATCCATTTGTCTGCATACAGTGCAGCATCACAGTGAGTTAGTTTCCTGTCTTCACATCTCATTAGTTTCTGTTCCTGTTCTCTGAAAAACCTTCAAAGGTTTTCTTTTTATTTGGTTATATTAATTCAATATAAGCTGTCATATAGTTCCTCTTGCAGTCTACCGGAAGGGTTATTTTAGAAAAACCTTTCAGTTCCGTTAGAGTACTTTGTGTTAAGTTGATATTCACTTGATTTGTTATGATATTTGTCTAATTACAACAGATTTTAAGAGTT